GGAGTCACCTGTAAAGACAATAACATTACCATAATGCTTCAAAAGACTATTGGGGGGCTTCCCTGGTGGCGCAGTGGTTGGGAGTCCGCCTGCCGATGCAGGGGACGTGGGTTCGTGCCCCGGTCCGGGAGGATCCCGCGTGCCGCGGAGTGGCTGGGCCCACCCATGAGGCCACAACAGTGAGAGGCCCGTGTACCGCAAAAAAAAAAAAAAAAAAAAAAAAAAAAGACTATTGGGGACCCAGGGAAGGATATCAAAGTCAAGGTCAGATGCCTAAAATTCTACCAGATGGCACCTGACACAAATCTAACATAGAGAAAGTGGGATTCAGCAAATCCATAGAGCTGAGCTTTGTCTTAACACTTTGTGAGTCATTTTGAGAACAAGTCCACGAAATGATACTTATTTTCTGCCTAGTTAGCCCTCTAACGATATAATCTTCTATATTTGTCTACCAATTTCCTCACTAAGGTCTTTAGCAATATCACCACCATCCACACACTGACGAAGGTATCTGCTCAGTTGTAAAATCCATACAGCTCTTCCTTAGATACCAGTAATGAGGTATTGATGAGCCCCAGTTTCAGAAGGCAACCATTTATCTTTCCCCTTGTCTTTCTAGTGCCTATGCCAGCTATTTATATTCTCTTTCCTGGTACCTGGGTGTCTGCTATTCGTAGTCTCTCTTTCCCCATTTTATCTGAACTAAAAACATGTCTGTCAGTGCTGGCATTAATATGCCCAAGATTCATCCAGCATGGGGCCTGATATGATCAATGATTTCCATCCGGCTTTCCCAGCATCTGTAGCTCACTACCAGGCTTGGGAATTCCAAGTAGGACAGAACTCAGATCCTGCAAGCATCCTGGCACAGACACGGTGGGTTCTAGCATGCCTCCAACAATGATGTGTAACTCTGGGCATCCGAGGGGTGGTGAGAGTCTGGTGGCCTCATGCTACTCATTGTCTGCCTCCAGGTTTGGGTCAGTTCCTGTAAGTTTGGGTCCATTCATGTAATGGCTGAATCACGCTGGTAACAGCCCCTTTTAATAAGAAGTAGACTTTTTATGTTTTTCTTTCATGGAATTATATGTGAATGCCTCATATGGTCAAGAGAAAGCAGCTCTGCACGCCTATATTTAAATGCTGCAAATAATTCCCGCTCACTCTAACTCTATCCAGATGTGGATACTCCGTGCCCATGTAAATGAGATGGCTTGCTTTCTTTTTGGTCTTGTCGAGAATCTGCATTCTGACTCACACAGGAAAACAAAAAAATGGAAAGAATGTGCGGCAACTACACGCAAGACATGCTATTTTAATAGTACAAGCTCTGTTGAAGGGAAAATCAGTGCTTTTGTGCTGCAAACAACAGCATTTGCATTTCAAGGGGGTAGACACTACAGCTCAGTAAGAACCATGCCAACAATGGCCTTTCGTCCTGGGTGTCAGCTCTTCCCATAGTTGGATTTCTGCTTTGGGTTCTAAGTATTCTTGACTAGGAGCCACATCTGTTCTGTGCCCCCAGCCTGGCTGCGGTGACTTTCTCAAAGGGAACAATTATTTCGAGATAATGGGCCCTCTGTAGTGCCTACAGCATTTTCCATGCTATGCCTCTCTCTCTCGAGCAGTGAACTGCAGTCAGGCAAATGTGGGCACCCAAAACTCGGAACACAAAAAGCAAGTCACATGGCCCACCATGTTTTGTGCTCCACAGAGTGTCTCATTTAAAACGCAACCCACTAAAGACCCATTTCACTAAATTGGGCTCTTACAAAATGGAAAAAATAAAGAAGAGAAGGGAAAAAGGCAGCCCATCTCCTTTTGCCATTCTTGAGCCATTTACTGATGGATCTTTGGAAAAGCTTGTTCTGTGACTGACGGAGTCAAACTAATCTTCAATCCACCTTCACCCCAAACTCATCCTCCCTTCTTTGAGACAGCAGAGGGTGGAAGACCCACAGATGGTGGCGGTGCCCAGAGGCACCGGAAGTAATGACCCCGCCTTTTCACGGGATGCCTTCAGAGCTGCTCTGCAAGGTTCGCTGCAGCTCTGCTAGAAACCCACCCTCTCGCCACCATCTCAGACACTGCTCCAGTCGGTCTATGACGTTTGACATGTGTGTTCATTTACCCTGAACTAAATGTGAGGCTGAGAAATGGAATTCAGAAAAAATAGAATCAATCACCACTGAGACTCACGTGTCATTAACCATAAATTCCTTAGAACAATAAAAGCACATTATGCTGGCCCAGCTCTTCCAGTTTACAGCGTGCTTTCTTGGGCAACCTCACGCATGATCCTCGCAGGCATTCTGTGAGGCAGGCAGGGCAAGCTTACTACTCGGGTTTTCCAGGTGAAAAAAAATGAAACACAGGGAAGAGTGTTAACTCCCCAAGATCTCAGAACTCACAAGAAGAAGAGAGGAACTCAGCGCAGGGCTTCTGGTTTCCAGCCTCCAATTATTGTCACCACATTTTAACCAGACCGCCCCAGAGTCATTATCTCTACCTTCCAATTGTCTAACTTGTTAGTCTCCCAAAGGTGGAAATTTTGGGCCTGGCACTTATCTGGGAACAGGGTGACCAGCTGCCCCAGTTTGCCTGGACTCTCAGTGCTAAAACCAGGACTGTCCTGAGTGAACCAGGAGAGCTGGTCACGACAGCAGGCAGGACTTCCAGCCCAAGTAGGGCCCGTGATAGCCATGCTCCCCTCCAATCAGCAGACTCCATTCTCAGGCCATGTGTGCTATTTCCAGAGGATATCTCTAGCAAATGCTTCCAGAAAGATGAAGAAATTCAAAGGGCCTGGTCCTTTGATGGGACACGCAGGAATCCTTCAGCAGCCCTGTCCTGTGAAAGCACCAGTTCCAGACTATTCACGGAACAGTGTCTCTGCCCCTCAGAGTGTGTCTGGCACAAATAACTCTGAGCCCATCTTTCCCAGGCTGTCAGAGAACAGCCCTCCCACCTGGCTGGACCAAAGCCCTGTGACACCGTGTGACCACTGGGGTGGGGCGGGGGGCGGGGTGGCGGTTGAGTAGGAAGGAAAAAAATAAGAGACTTGCTTGTGACTTTTCCCCCCAATGACCCTGAGCTTTTGAGGATAGTTCGTTTTGGTGACTGAGTTACTCTACCAAAGAGAGGACTGATGCTAACAGTTTTATATAATTTCTGTGCACTAGATGCCCTTCTGCTCAAAACAGAACAGGGCCTGTATTCTCTACACGTTTGATACTAAAGCAAGCCTGATGTCTGGCCAAATGCGGCAACAGGTATCAAAATCCTTAAAAATGTTCATAGCCTTGGGCCTAGAGATTTCACTTCGAGGAATTTTAGCTTAAGGAAACAATCGGGGACATATAAATTAATATGAATACTCTTAAGATCATCAGAGCAGGGAGATCATCTTGCCATGCTATGTTTACTGCTGGGGGTTCAGGAAGGTCTGGTATGTTTGGAGCACTGGTAGAGCTGGCTGCAAGAGAACTGGAGCTGTGCTCCCTGCTGGGGATCAGAAAGAGCCGGGCTTGTCTGGGAACACTGGTCGAGTGGTACAGAAGTTCAGGTTGAGGGTGGTGAGAGAGGCTGAAAAGCATCCTGGGAAGCAGCTCAGCCAGAGGGAAGAAGCCAGGCCGGTCAAGGTTAGCCTAGGAATAAAGGCTTGCACCTTCAAGGGGTATAGAGATGGTGAGGCAGAATGAAGGTTATTATCTAACATCCATCCCCATCCAGTCCTTAGAGTCATATCTGAGGCCCAGGAAGAGGGAGGGTAGAAGGGAAAACAGAAAGTAATTTCACTAAACTCTGAGACACTCTGGGGCCCAAGGAACACTGCCTCGGGAACTTTTGCGGAGAAGGCAAGTCACGCAGATAAGAGAGTTCCTCTTCCTATTCAACCGCAAGACCCTGCACAGCTTTGCTACCATGAGCACTGTGGCAGCCATTGGCCCTTCTACATGGCTTGAGGAGAACTGCAGCCTCTCCCGCTGCAATGGCCAATCCATATGGGATTGACATATATACACCAATATGTATAAAACAGATAACTAATAAGAACCTGCTGTATAAAAAAAATAATAAAATAAAATTCAAAAATAAATTTTTGTAATCCATATGGGTATATGTACTATATATATATATATATATATATATATATACACACACACACACATATATAATACACACAGAAACACATATGTATGTCCCAGACCTTACCAGACAAATAAAAGTAATCATCACCAACACCATCATCAATTTATCTCCCTAACTCTCCTATTAGAGTCTGATTTCCTTGGGGAAAGGGCACTTTTTCTGCCTTGTTCACCTTGATACCTTAGAACCTAGAAGAATATCTGGCTTATAGTATGCATTCAATAATATTTATCAGATAAATGGATGGCTGTCACAACCCAGATCCTTACCAGGATAACACCTAGAAATTAGACCCTCTTAAAATATTCCCCCATAATTTTAGCAAGTTTCCAAAATAGTGTCTCATGTATCCCACCATCAGCGTCCTCCCAGCATTCAGCATGCTGGTCTACTTGTCAATGCCCTCTGACCATGAAACATCATTGTCACCATTGCTCACAGTCAAAACCCCATCATCTGTGCCCAGGATTCACTTCCAATCCTCAGAGTGCCAAACTACTGCCGGGTTTGAGCCAGAGCTTGAAAAAATGTCCTCCTCTCCAATTGTGGACCACACTTTGTCACTAGGGCCCAAAGCAGCTCTGGTTGGCCCAGAAATTGACAGTCTCTCTTGAATGGTTCTGTGATTTGGGACCCTCAGCCCTCTAACCATAAACGTTCAAATCCAGTAAAAGGTGGGCAGGGATAAGACACTGTATTATTCATACCAGCTTTTTTGCTCTCTCCATCAATCCAAACTCTCCCTTCCTCACCATAATAAAACAAAATTCCCCTTGCATTATAATGTGCAAATAGACTCCAAGGGAAGGGAGAGGTGGGGTGGGGGTCACATTTTTAGCACTTACCGCACCTGGTCCTCAGTTCAGCCAGTCCAGCAAGACTCAAGGTGAGATGGAGAGTTAGAGTTAGAGATGGTGGAGTTCCAGGGGACCATAAACAACAATCTTCTTTCCTGCTGACTTCTGAACCGGGTTGGAGACAACCTAGAAGAGGAAGGCAGATGAAGACTCAACTCTCATCCTTCTTGCTGCAAGTCTGAGCAAAAACTAATTCTCATTATGGTGGTTTACATCTGCTGGTAAACAAATTTCTTAATCCTGAACTCCTAACCAGCATAATTTAACCACCCAGCCTCCCCATGGACCTCCTGCAGACCTACCCCTATGCTTGCTGAATGACTGAGAGCAAGCGGGACCCCACGTCCCTGGCAGAAGCACACTCTTGCATATATACGGAGCTATATGAAAGGTAAAGACCTTAAGTCAACTGTTATTCTTCCCGGGTCATGAAATTATGGATAATTTTTAGTTTCCTCCATGAATGCATTCACGTGTACGTGTGTGTGTATGATTTTTCACATTTTCTATATGTATGCAATTTATTTGAAATCAAATTGGAAAAGAAAAGTAATTATTCAAGGTTATATTTCAAACAAAATGAAGGAAAGAAAAAGAAAGAAACTCTCACTTCCAGACAGTAGCTGAGATGGCCGTGAGAGTTTCTTTTTCTTTCCTTCATTTTATTTGAGATATAACCTTGAATAACGAACTCAGCTACTGTCTGGAAGAAATATGCACTTTGACACCTGATGACATTGCACCTGGGTTGGTGGCCCACTTATATCATGGAAATGAACTTTAAGCCTCGGGCGCAGAGAAGAAAGATTGCTCAGAAAATGGCAAGCTAAAGACAGAAATCCAACAAAAATATGTTCACTGGAGCTCTCTAAAGACTTGCAGAGGGCCCACTGACCTCCTCTAACCAGTTATTGAAGATTCCAAGAAAAAAAAGTTTGCCAGGCTGTAAATCCCTAGAGAGATGCTTCCTGGGTATGAGGATGTGGGGTTGCTGGTGGGGCAGGGCAGGAGGAACCTGAAACAGTGCCTCAGAATCACAGCAGCTCAGAGCTGGGAGAATCCATGGGGAAGGGAGAGAATCTGGTGTTCAGCCAACGAATTCCACTGTTGAAGAAAGAGCGAATGGAATGCCCAGTGATTTGATGAGGATGCCACGATGCTTTAGTAGCATCAGGGCACCTTCCACTTTTCTTCCCCTTTGTTTCAGTGACAAATGATAAATGTCATGTGGCCAATGAGTAGAAGAATCAAAATTGTAAGAATCAAATTGTAAGAAAGTTGTCTGGCCTTAAGAACACCCCTCTTCATAAAAACAACCAGGTGGTCCATGCAGGTTGCAGGACCCACACAAGAGAGCCAAGGAGTAAAGAGTTACAGCCTTTTCCCAAAGTATCATCAGTGGGGCTCTACCTCCACAGGATAATAATAGGTCTGATATGGGAAAAGAGGGGTGGGGAGTGGCTTTGAGAAATATTGGGTTAAACAACATTTTAAATGAGTCCTGACTGCTAACAGCTTTGTGAATTTGTCTCAAATACCTTCGACCATAGAAACTTTACTCATCTTGTAGGAATAATGTTGTACAGATGTAATTCGGATAATGCTAGGATAGAGGGTCACTGCCTTAGGCAAAATCCATAATTTATTTGGAGCAACCATGCCTAGGGTGTCCATGGCTGTGGCCTTCAGTCCTGTACCCTGAGTTTTTCCTGAGATAGTTAGAAACCCTACTCAGGAATGCTCCTGAACAGTAATCTGCTATTTGAGAACCACATGTCTGTTTATTTTTATTTTGCTAATTTTCTTGCTCCATCATCTGTGATTCAAAAATTATTTTTTGCACTGTAAAAGATATAATGAAATATCTTCCTTAAAACTCCAGCATTATTTTGATCACAGTCTTCTGTTTTGATGAACTATGGCACTGTGCCAAAGAAAGCCAAAAACAAAATCAGAGGATTTTCCTGCCTGACAGAGGATCCTCAGCAGGAGAAGAATCAAACCACCTCACCATGAACAATATCTGTTCAATCACTTCTAAACGACAGCACGGCAAGAAAGTATGAGCTATTGATTTTTTGGTTTTGGTTGTTTTTATATTTTAAAAAAAAGTTTTCTTTGTCAAATTGGAGTTTGAAAAGGCATCTGTCACTGGGATGAAGCATGGTACCTTTGGATATCACTTTGTTTGAAGCAGGCGGCAAACTAAACACTATATAGATATACGATCTTGTACGTGGACCTTGCTAGGAATAGGCTATTTTCTTAGCAGTTCCCAAATATATAATAAAGAAGTAAACTAAAATTTGATCTAAATTATTATTAGAATCTGCAGAGCCAATAGCTAAATCTAGATGCCAAAAAGAGTCAAGGCCAAAGAAATAATACATATGTAGGTCACAGACAAACTTGGTCAAGAGAGTGTCACTGAACCACTGAATGACAAAATACTTTGTTTCAAACTTATCTCTACGTATGGTAATATTCACGATGAATGTGACTAAAAATATATGTAGAGCAGCCTTACCAAAGTTCTTAAGTCATCCAAACGGTCAGAAGTGTGCCACTTCTAGTGAAGGCAATTGAAAATTTAGAATATACAACCTTTGATATGAGATCCTTTTCCCCCTGCAAGAAAATACCCCAATCCCCACCCCCAAACGAAATGGCCAACTCGTGGTCCTACAGAGAGAGAACCCAAGGCCAATGGCTCCAGTGGCCACAAAGAGGAGGGATAGCTGATTGTTTGTGTGCAGGTATGTGTGTAAAACACACTTTAAACTCTACACTTCTACAGTAGGGAGAACAACTAACAGACTGCTTTAATATATGTCTCTACCTCCAAAAGCTTTTTTTAAATTTTTGTTTTGTGTTCCTTAAATAACATGTCCTGCCATTCTCATGGTCATCCATAAGAAAAGATTGGTCCTCATGGTCTGCAAACCCTCTGTTTCATAAACAGCAGCCTGTCTTAGCAAGTGCTTCCTCAAGAATGCATAATCAAAGAAATCTTTATCTTTGAAAGTAGAAATTTCGATAGAACAATAATTAATTAATTTTTTAATTTTTTTCTCCCCTGCTGCGAAAATTAACCTGCATCTGCTTTTTAGAAAGGGCTCTGATTTTGCCTGGGGCTGGGCCAGGGTCTGCCCTGCATGGAGGGCTGGAGGTGGTGGCTCTTTAGAAACTATAGGCTGGAATAGGAGTGATAACGGAGGAGAGCTGGAAGGGGAAACAAAGCAAGGTGGGGGGCACTCAGAGAAAGGGAGCGTTAAGTCTAACTCTGTTTTCCATTGAGGCTACAGTTTTCAGGTTCTAGGTGTTTCCTGAATTTCAAGCTCTGGCCCCTTCATATAGTCACAGAAAAAAAATTGTTTTCATTTACTATAAAGTGACAATACTACTTCACAGCAGATATTTCATACAAGGTAAGGGGCATCTGTAGGACTTTGAGAGTCAGACACACAAAGGAAAATAGAAGGACAAAGAGAGAGTTAGCAGTGTGAGAAATCATGCCCACAACTCTGGGAAAACCTTCTATATTAAAAAAAAAAAAAATCGGGGGTAAAGAAGACATACAGATGGCCAACAGGCACATGAAAAAACACTCCACATCGCTAATTATCAGAGAAATGCAAATCAAAACTACAGTGAGGTATCACCTCCCACCAATCAGAATGGCCATCATCAAGAAGTCTATAAATAATAAAGGCTGGAGAGAGTGTGGAGAAAAGGGAACCCTCCTATACTGTTGGTGGGAATGTAAATTGGTGCAGCCACTATGGAGAACAGTATGGAGGTTCCTTAAAAAACTAAATACAGAGCTGCTATGTGATCCAGCAATACCACTCCTGGGCATATATCCAGAAAAGATGAAAATTCTAATTCCAAAAGATACATGCACCCCAGTGTTCATAGCAGCACTATACACAATAGCCAAGACATGGAAGCAACCTAAGCATCCATCAACAAAGGAATGGATAAACAAGATGTGTGGGGTGTGTGTGTGTGTGTGTGTGTGTGTGTGTGTGTGTGTGTGTGTGTG